TCCCTGAAATACTGTGCTTACTCCATGCAGGTATGCAGCTACTTGATCTGCAGTTGGGGAGCCTATCACATAGTTTAAGTAGAGTCAATTGGAAAACTTTATTTTCTTATTAGTCTTTACTGTATGATTTTATTTCTCACATTAAATTATGATTAGTGAAGTATCACATGTTGCTTTATTGCTGTATTGTGATTAGCATTTGGTACAGTTTTGCTGTTCTGTGTAATACATATTATTTGAATGTTGAAAGACAACACTACACAGCTTGTTCTCTTAGGGGGCAACAAGAAAGAGAGAGAGGCAAAACATACAAGGAGTTCCAAGAACTGGTTCTATTTTTACTGCACAAAAAAAAAATGTTTGATGTACTCTTCCTTTTACTTTGGGGTCTACCCAGACAGAGGTCTGCAAGGTAGATGCTCGTTATCCCTAATTAGGAAAAATGGCTCTTGGCCAGCAGATTATGTTCAGTCTGAACAAAACAGCTCTTAATCTGTTAATAAACCAACCTTTCATCATAGAATTAATATCATGACCCAGAAGCATCACCTGTTTAAACTACTGGCTTGCTAAGATTATCAGACATCATAATATAGTGCTTAGTGTTCCTCCTTCATATATGAGAGGTATGGGTTTATATTCCAGCTTGGGAACTATAATTTTTAGTGCTTGCTGGCAAGTATGTCATGTCTGTCCCAAGTCAACATTTCAGTCATACCATTCTTTGACATCATTTTGCCGAGCATTGAAGTGGCAGTGCTTCAGACTTTTGTATCAGAAGGTGCTCAATATGAATCTTCCCTGGAACACTGGCAAATTGTCTAAGGTTTTCATGGTTTTTCTCATGCTGTTCAAGAATATGCTGTGATAATACCATAAATTAGGTCATGACCACTTACAGTATTAATCTTGGCTGGAACACCGGCCATTCTGACTGAGGTTTTCATGGTTTTCCTTATTCTGTCCAGGAATATTTTGTGATAATACCATAAATTAGGTCATGACCATTTCTTTAGCATCCTATGCAGTTCATTATTCACTGTCATTCAGGCATTTGATATTATGCACTGAAGGCTGAGTTGCTGACAGCATCATTATATATACTACAAATAAATAAAGAGATAAGGGACTATCTAACCACTAATGTTGATAAAACATCATTCAAATAAACTCGTGATGCAGGATCTTCCTTGAAAAGTCAATAGTTACCAATCTGGTGGTCAGCATATTTCCTGTGTCGGATTTGAGGATGTAATGCTGTGTAGTCCATTGAAAGTCAAGCGATGTTTCAGAGTAAGTAGTCGCCTCTGAAATGTCAGTTGAGTTTTTCAACTGACTAATGGTGTTATGCCCCAGAAGATAGAACTCTTGAATAAATTTCCTGCCTTTATGGAACCAAAATTTACATTACCATTTTACAGTGTCCCATCATTTTACCCAGGCCTGCCTTTTACACACGAAGTGCATTCTAAAATAATCCTGACTACAGAACAACATAGATTTGCTGGCTGTGGTTCTGCATATTAAAAAGTGTGTTTAACAAGTCTCTCGTGACACAGTGGCTCCTCTGTTTGACATTTTTAGTTGTGTTGTAATGTTTAGCTTTCATTCAGCAGCAACTGTTTCTCTGTGATGTTCTGTTGAAGGTCACAGGCTGTGATGTTCCAAGTAATTTCACAGAACACATTTTTCTCTGTGTGATGACAGAGCTGTGTGAAAAGAGTTCTTTTTTGGGCTCCCAGGCAAATGCTGAAATAATAGTTTAAAGTAATTCACGATCACTTTTGGGGAAGTATTGTTAAATAACTAAGAAATGTAGTTTGTCTATTATTTATTGAACAGGGTTGCTTATACTTTAATAAATGGAACTTGTATTTCAGAGGTCGTAGTTTGATTGTGATCCAAGATATCAAGAGACCTTGAGTGTGATTTAATTTTCCTTCTCATTCCCTCCAGACACATTATCTAGACACAGACTGTAACCCATTTTCCACTACGCAATCCAATTCACCATTCACAATCATGTTTATGTATATAAACATATACTGTATGTGTGTGCCCACCCACACGCAGAGAGATATGCCACATAACCACTTTAGTTGATGCAGTGTTACTAAATAATATACAGCGATATTCAGGATGGAATAAGGAAAAAAGAAGTAATTTAGAGACAAATGATTTCATGCATGAGGTATATTGACCTCAGCAGACTGGAATATAAAAAAAATTCGATTTGGTGAATTTTATTCCAGAAAATAACGCTAAATTGTATGTGGGTAGAAATAGTGATGTAGTGTTTGCTTCTGTCTGATGGAACAGAGGTGTCAGGCACTGTTCCACCTTATTTCGCTCAGTGAGTATGAGCTTACACTAAGCTGTACACTTTCCTTACCATACCTTACCATATATTACCTCTCAGCTGACAGCTGTTTTCAATAGATAGTACCCATATCCATGCAACTTAGAAACTGTGCTTTAGGCGAAGGATTGTTCACTGCCGTGGGGATTTGTTGCGCTGACCACGGGACACCCTCTATCCGCTAAAGTTGGCACTAACTTCGCCGACAAGTGGCGGTCACTCGGTTGGTATAGTTCGCTTGCAGACTAAAATCACGGATTTTTCTTGTAGCAATCACATATACGTCTGCTTTATGTGGAGCCCAAGCTATCCCGAATTCAACTTCACAGTTTTTTCCCCTAACAGTTTATCATGCAGAAATTTATTAGGATAACATGCTTTGAATATAGACCACTCATTACGTTGTACAGTTGTTAACATCCTATTTAAGATTCATTTTAATATTATCCTTTCATCTACTCCTTGTGTGCCATTAAGGTTTGTGGTGTATGCAAAGTATGAGAAAATGCATTGAAAAAAGTACTTTCAAATACGTATTTCCACTGTTGTTAATTTGATGGTTTGGCTTTACAAAAAAGAAAAATTTAGTTCTCAGTGTTTGAATAAATGTATTAATTTAGATCAGTTACTCATGATAGCTAGATGCTGATGGAGAAGAGGTTTATTTTTGGTAATTTAATATCTGTTACAAAATAAAATAGACTATGTGCCAAGCAGACTGGATATATGTGTCTTCATGTATTATGGCACAATAATTGGAAATGTTCCAGATACAAACCTGGCTGAAAGCCTGATTTTGTTTCAGTTGAAACAGGTAAACATTATCTAGGATATATTACTAAAAATGTAATCATTTTTTATTCTGAATTTTATCTGATACTGTGGCATTAAGGGGGCACCCGGTAGCGTAGTTGGTTGAGGCACTATGCTACAAGCCGGAACGTTGTGGAATTGAATCCCAATGAGGTGGATTTTTTCAATTTACCTAATCCTACCAGCCGCACTGTGGCCCTGCGGTTGACTCAGCCTCCAACAGAAATGAGTACCAGGAATATTCTTGGCATATTGTTGGGGGAGTAATGGGGAGTAATGCTTCTGATTTGTATTTGGGAGATGCCACTTCAGTATCTCAACATTTTTTATTCTTTTCCTCAGTCCTTCAATTGAATGCTGGGAAAGAAACTTGAAATATACTGTGGTTGCTTATTCCTCCATACTTTGAAATTCACAGAACACATTTATCCTCTTATATCATCTGTTGTTAAATTACTGGCACAGTTGATACAGCATTGTCGAATTACCTACAGCCCTCCCCCCTTGGTTCTAAGAACCCATTCTTGTTAATGACATTGTACACTTATGTCTTGAGAATTGTTTATATTGTCACGTGTTAGTGATTAGACACAGGATTGGGATTGATAATTTGATTTATTGAATGTTTATAACTTGTAACTACAAATGGTTATAACACTGCCACTAAAATACACACTCTACAGATCAGTACAATTACATCACGCACTAAGTCGTCTGTTTGTTAGCCTGTTGTTACAAGTCGTTGCTAGGTAATGGTTGCTAACAACGGAGATTCCTCATAGTAAACCATGAACTGTCACTGCTCACTTGCAACTCACGAACTGCTAACAGCTGACTGTGACCTCCTTTGGACTACTTTTCCCATTGGTCCTTGCTATATATCCTAAGCGTGGACCACATAGTAAGCACCACTTCCAGCAGCTACACTATTGTTGCGTGTTGATTCATTGCTACAGAAACATTTACCATGTCTTGTTCCAGCTTTCAGCTGTTGCATCACAGTATTATCAGTATTCCAAAAATATAATATGTAAAGTTGTTATTTTGCATAATGCTTTATATGGGGTGTCTAAAGTAGTGGTTCTGAAGCTTTTTGAGTCCACAGATCCCCTAGCATTACATGGCGCACTCAAGGACCCCTAATCCCTTCTCATTTAAATCATCTGTGTATCAACTTGAAACAGTTCAAATAAAGTAATTTATTTAAATTTAAATGCTTGTACTCTGTGTACAAAATGTTTCATTTCTGTACAATGTTTTTTCTTAACTTAGTTTGTTTAATGACAGAAATGGCTGAGTCACCAATGCATAACCAACATACATAGCCATACAAACTTTCGAGTCCGAAATATTTGTTATGTCATTATTCCAGATACCCAAATTTTGTAAAATATTTTTTCTTCTAAGTTGTAATAGGAAGACAAAAATAATTTTGTAGACCCCTGAGGGTCTGTAGACTGCAATTTGAGAACCAGTTTTGTAAAGGAAGAACAGAGATGGAAATAATATTGAGGAGACTATTTAGGTCTAGGGAGATCAACATACTAATGAATGGGAAAGGGTACATGATGAGAAGCTACGATTTGTATTCTGCATCTGACTATTGATTCAAGGAGATTGATATGGTGTAGGCATGTAAACTACTTAAGGTGCATGTTAGAAATGTAGACCCAATTGTGTAAGGAAACTTATGAAAATGCACTGGAGTTAACCGCTGCTCGTATTGGATGTGTGTTCAGTTCACTTGCTAATGTGTGCTTGTTTATTTCTTTTTGTTTAGAAGTGTCTGCAGTATTACATGATGATAACTGTGTCTTTTCATTTTTAGCCCACATACCAGAATCAACGAATGATTCAGGAAACAGTTACCACTACAAAGACAGCATATCCACAGAGTCCTCCAGGAAAGATGATCTCCTTAAACAATAATTTATCTGAACTGGATACATTATTGCAGGACCTGAGTAATGCTCATTATGCCGGTTATGTAGAGAAAAAAGGTAAAATATATCATTGTAGTGTTATGTCATTTAACCCAGTGTTTCTCAGTAGGTATGTTGTGAGTCTGTGCTATATTCAATTTGAATGCGTTACTGCACAGTAATAGTAGATTATGAATTATGATAATATTAAGATTTTGTTCAGCCCTGCCATTGTTGCTTCTTTGTTAAACTGCTGTTGCCTCATTGTTTGTAATGTAATTTTATTTGAGAATAACCGTTATTAGGCTGGAGAAAAGTAGGCTTACAAGCACACCATGCTGTATCAGTACCATTTGTGGAGTTGTGAACTGAAGTATGGTAATAGATCATCTTAAATTATACATAATTTGATAAGGTAAATTTTTGCAGAGCATAAAGGACAGCATAGTAGCTTCATGGAATCTACATTTTGCTTTTGGTTTGATAGCAATAATTAATGGACCATTTAAACAAAGCACGTGAGATTTTGCATGGATGTAGAGCACAAACATACCTAAAAATTCTGTATGAAATATAGAATTCATATATGTTATGCAGATCTTTGAGGTCACATCTGATAAATATTATGTAGACACAGTCTGTACTTAAGTAATAAGAAAATATTCGTACTGCTGATGCTTATGCTGCTGCTGCTGCTACCACTACCACTAAATATGACACAAACAGCATATGTATGAAGAAATAATATGAACTTGGTTTAACCTGTGCCTACGTACTTGCATACAAGTTCATATCTATGGATGCATGTAACTTCACAGTGATATAGGATTTGTTGTACTGTATCCACATTTTAGCATACAGTCATGTTGAAGAGGTTGAGAAACACAGTTATTAAACTGATTAAAATATAACAGTTACTTTGCTTGTATTTTGTATCATGAGGATGATGTTTTTTTGTCCTCAGCAAAGAAGAAATGGTGTATATGATATTCTGATATAAGGAATATGCGTTAATTCTTGGAGTAAAGTGCATATATAGTAACTTCATAATTTAGCTCTTCTAGTATGATTGGAGTGTTTGAAAGAAGAACGTAAGTTTTTTAGTTGGGCTGTAAGGGTAAATGGGGAAATAAGAAATCCATGCAATATTTTGGTGTGGAAAAGACCAGGGAAGTGACTACTTGAAATTCCACGATGACCTCAATAGGAAAATATTAAATTGAGCTTTGAGAAAGTTAATTTTGATAACTAATGTGAGTCAGATGGAATTGGCTTGGGGTTTAGTCATTGACAGTAATCCTGTATTAGTATTCAGCTTTTAGGTTGATGCCACAGTCTTTGAAATTGTTATTATGTGTACAGTACTGTAAATCTCTTTCCATTTTCATCCAGACATGGGCCTTGTAAATGGTTCTCTTACTCCAGGCACAAGAGCAAGTGGCCATGAATCCAGAGTACGACCTTCTGTGGACAGTTTGCTGGATGAGCTTAATACCGCTGTTCCCAATGGGCAAGTACACAATTTTTATATGCAAGGGTGTAAAGTAGGTGAAACTGGCTTAGGTCAATGTTCAGTGGCATACTACCACAGTCAATAAGTTCGTGGAATGGCCGCAAAGTGCCGTCGCAGTCTACTACAGCGGATAGGTTGAGGCACGACATGATGCCCTATCGGCTCATCTCTCGTGACAGCAAGAGGCAGTTGTGTGCAAACAGTGTAAGTAGAACTATGACCTCTATTGTGAACTGCAGTTAAATGCAAGTGGCTGAAATCGAAAATGTGGCAGTTTGAACAACGGGCAAACATCAAGTTCTGCCAAAAACTAGGCAACTCCCCTAGCGAAACATTTGGCATAGGAAGAAATGACTTAATACACAACAATGCCCCTGCACATTGCACCGTTCTTGTCCAAGAGGAACTGGCAAGGCAACAGGTCACCGTTTTGCCACACCCTCCGTACTCACCTGATCTCGCACCATGCAATTTCTTTCTCTTTCACCTCTTGAAAGCAAAGCTACGTGGTCGTAGATATCAGTCATCCAGGAAGGTGGTTATTGCCACAAGAGACGCCCTATGGGAATTTCATGCCAATATGTTTCAGCACTGTTTTCGGCAGCTATATCAATGTTGGCAGACTTGCATAGCGGCCAGTGGCAACTATTTTGAGGGTCGATGTGGATCTGTGTAGGTGTATGTGAATACCTTGTAATATGATACGATAAAACCACATTCCATGAACTTAATGACTCTGCCATGTATATAAATGTATGTAATAATTTATTACTGTGTGTTCCTATATGGAGCTTTGGTGGTGTACTTTTGTTACAATATGTTATAAGTCTTCACTGTGGGGGGAACTCAGAGATTCCAGTAAATGTAAGTGGTTCCATGTAAATGCAGTATGTGGACCAGAAGTGTGAAAGATTGGCACTGCCAGTACAAATTCCCAATGATGGGCACAGTCTTGAGTCATGGACATGTTTTGAAGTAATGTCTCAGCATTATCTTGGAGGGACTGAGAAAACTATGGGAAATCTGAGTCAGGATCCCTGGTCTTATAGCTGAGATTCAAACTTCGAACCTTCCAGATGTAAATCAGGATGCTAAGCTCTCTGCTGCGATATCCAGCACAATTTAACTTCTCACCTTTGTCCTTTCTTGATATTTGGAAAAGACTTATGGCAGTGGTGTTACAACATAAGCTGAATAATGCCAAGCCAATTAAGGATACTATAGACTTCAAAGTAACACATGGCCACCACCCATGAAATGGCTTTGTCTGATGTTGTTGTTATCCTGTGGTGGCAAATTTGCTATAGCATGAATTCAGAATGTATAACTTATCTGTACAGTTCACTGTAGGGGGATTGCCCATTCTGTATGTATTGAAGATGTTTGTTTCCTCTGTAGTTTATTTTAAATGTACAGCATACTCATGATTATCAGTGCTGATGAAGGGAAGGAGTTGAACATGTAATCAAAAAGCATGAATAGTCCAAGTTTCTGATATGATCAGGAGATCTCAGTAATTGTTGAATGTAGAATTTCAGAATGTATGCTTTATGTCTGATGTATTTAATTATTTCAAAAACCCCCGAGACCTGTGGAAAATACTTTTTTACATCCAAGTAGTTTGGTAGGCACTTTGTGATCCTGAGTTGCTTGGCAGTCAGAGTTTAGAACTGTTGTGTTTATTGTACATTTTCAGTATAATATAATACCGAAGTCATACAATACATCCTGTCTTTGCCTTCCTAGGGACTTGGGTGATAGTCGCCACATGACCCGAACAATTACAATCCAGAAAACACAGACAGAAATGGATTATCCCAGTGCCCCTAGTGGAGGTGCATCTTCGGCTACAAAGGAATTGGATGACTTAATGGCCTCGCTGTCTGACTTCAAAGTAAGTAAGGAGCCATATGCTTGCAAGATTCTTTTAGCTGAGCAGGTTCGGCTTAGTAGTAATATATAAATTTTACTGCTTGGCATGTATTTCAAATTTTGGCTAGAGGAGAGCTGCCTGTACCCTTTTAAGTTGTGTTTTATCCCTGTACGTGAAGACAAATAGCATGATACTTGCATCTTGTAGGGTACAACCACTTCCATAACCAGTACCTTTCACAGTCCTCACTCATTTGATGCTAGATACCATTCTCATTCAGTGAGCCATTTTTGACTAAAGTGATAACATATGATTTGTACTTCATACAAACTAGGGTTTATATTCCCTGGTATGAACAAAAATTAAACAAACACCTTAGAACTTCAAGTGTAGGTCTTCTATACCAAGTATCATGAGAGTGCCATCATTAGTTTTAGATATCAAATATGCTGACTGCTGAGGGATGTGACCACCGTGTATGAATCCATTTCACTTTAAGAACACTAATAACGTAATCAGTCAGCTTAATAGAAGTGGTACAATTCTTGCAGCAGCACCAGCTGATGGTGCATTATGCAGCTTTTTCCAGCATCCCAAAGTGCAGGAAAAGTATAGTGATTTGCTGCATTTATACTTGCTAAATCCTCATCCTATAAATTCTCAGAGAGTCTCATGATTGCCCAGTTAGTAAAGGAACTGATTACTTATTAGTTTCCATGTTTCAGTTCCTGGCAAGGGTATTGGAATTTCCTTCTGGCTCAGTGGCACAGCCGATCTCTTTGATCTCTGGGAATCTGAGTATTTTGGGAGGTCTCTGTTCCTGTGGGTAAAGGAGACCAGAGTATAAAGCTGACCATCCAGCTGTGCTTAGATAAGATGTTGGGAATGTGTAAATTTTATACTGACTCTACAATGGAATTATGTTAAGAGCAAGGATAATTTTTTAATATCTTCTCACAGTACATGTAGTATTATCCACAACTGCAGTAGTTTCTCAATATGTCTTTTGAGGCATATTTAGTACTAAGAGAAAACAGGTTCAAAATGAAATGCTATTGGAAGTATACATACATTTATTTAACAGCTTTGATAATGTGTTAAAAATTTCTTTGTAGTAATCCTTTCCATGTTAGAAGCAAACTTAATTGTTTTAAAACTAAATCCATGCTATAAAGAAGGTAATCACTTTAAAACTAGACTGTTTTTTTCTTAATTTATTTGTGATTTGTATAAACACAGAAACCTGTCATAGTGTTTTTATAATAATTCAGGTCACAGATTTGTAGTCTTCGGACAAATGATATTATAATGTGGTATGGAAGTGTACAAATGAATTTAAATAAAATATTGAACATAGAAATGTTTTAGAGCAATGAGTAGTAGTATTGTGTAGTTTTTTTTTTATTCAAGCAGTCTTTCTCATTGGTGCTTGAAATCCCAGGGGTAGTATGAATACAAATTACTGCAAAAATGAAGGTAACAGTTGTTTTATATTAGTTATTTGGCTACATTATCTTCTCTAAGAAAGCAGTATGATACTACTACACACCCATATTTCTGTCACTAATTTTATAACTTGTCTAATAAACCCATCTTCAGTTGCTTAATGTTCAGACATAAAATTGCCATGGAAACAGATGTAGATATTCAATTGTGTTGTAATTAATGATCTTCCTGTAGCACTGACGTTCAGTTCTTTTGAAAACACCCCAGTTTCCATCACTTATTTTGATGAAATTTTTAATGGTGTGAGGGGCAAGGCAGGGGGGTTTATGTATTTTGAAGAACTGGTGGCTCTCTTGGCAGAACTTGATTGTGAATGTAGGTGGAGTAGTAGACCCTCTCTCATACATAGCAGTAGCCTGTCCTTTCTTGGCCCACATATGTGTCTGATGCTAGAAATAGTTTGACATGGGTGGGGCCCTTGGGGTGAGGGGAAGCAGCTGTACTACACCAGCATCACAGTGTTTGCTTGCAGCGGCTCCCCAGTCAGTCAGCACGCAGGCAGGCAGTTAGATTGACCAGCAGAGCCGGTCTCTATCCTAGAAGTCTCCTTGTAACATAGTGCGCTTTGACAGCTCTTTGCTCAGTTACACAATCCTAAAGCAACTTTATGACTAACCATCATAGCCTCTTTTTGATACTAAAATTATTTCACAAGTACTGCATCAGCATGTTTCAACACTTCCTATACATACATTTAATACTTCTGATAAAAATAAAACATGCATTTACCATTTATAGTTTTCTGCCCTGCAGTAGAAGTGTGTTGTCTATCAAAGGTATATTTTTTCAGTGAGCCCAGAAGCTTTTTCCCCATATTTTATTACATTTTTCTAGCTTATGAACCTAAATATTAATCTGTAGTGCTGAATTACTGCTTATTCTATTAGTTTTGTTGATCCTCATTTTTATTCTGCTTATAATCCTAGCTTTCTTTAATCTAACTAAAATGTGCCTATAGAATCTTAATGTATCTGGAAATATCTGAAATTGCATTTTCTTCAGTTGAATAGTTTTTGTTATGGGTCTGAGTACATGTCTTGTTACAGATCAATGCTAGTACCCATCAGCATCAAACTGTGACGGACTCACCTTACGCAAAACCAAACAAGGCAACGAAGAGTTCACCAAGTCCACAGCCTTCAGCACATCTCCAGTCTCAGCAGTTAACTGCATCAGTGGTGCCTCCTGCAGGTGGTAGTGGAAAACAGAACCAACTGGACTCTATGCTTGGCAATCTTCAGGCCGACATGAGCCGTCAAGGTGTTAACACCACACAGAAGGGCTGCTGTAACGCCTGTGATAAGCCCATCGTTGGGCAGGTACATCTTTTTTAAGGAAGAGGGGTGTCACATGGCATGGATTAAGTGAAATTTGACATCTGCAGAATGTGAAGAATGTTCAGTTTTAAAGGCTTAAATTAAGCATGTTAGATGTTCTTGAGAAAGAAATATGACATTTTGTGACGTAAGAATTCATTGTATACTAATTTAATGTGATTAAAATGACCTTTTTTGTTTCAGGTGATAACAGCACTGGGAAAAACTTGGCACCCAGAGCATTTTACATGCACTCATTGCAACCAGGAACTGGGTACTCGCAACTTTTTTGAGCGTGATGGCCATCCGTATTGTGAACCTGACTACCACAACTTGTTTTCACCTCGTTGTGCCTACTGCAATGGGCCTATTCTTGATGTAAGTCCTACGAAATCCAGAGGAGCTGCAGAAATATTATAAACTTTTTTCAAATTACAAATATATACAGAAGTGAACATAGATAGAAGTAAAATTGAAAATGTTAAGAGAATATCAAACCTTGGTCAGACTTTAGAGAGGCCTTATTCGATCAAGAATCTAGAAAGTTGAGACAATTTGAAGATAATAATGCATTTACTTATCTTATCATTAATTAGGAATTCTGTGTAATAGTTTCTTCCCAAGGTACTGTTGTTTCAGGGAAGATTTTGACTCTGTATGAGTAGCAGATTTTTCAGCCATTGTCCTCTACACTCTCAAACTTTAGACTGAACAAGTAGCATAGAAACTATGGACTTGGCAATGTTGTGAAATAAAACAGGGGATTATATTTAATAAGCAGTTTCAATTTTGGGAGATTCTGTTTCTATAGGTATCAAACGAATTAATTATTTTATAGATAGCAATTAGCATAATGGAGTAAAAAATACAGAGAATATAATATTAATTCTTACAGAAAAGCGTGAATTTTAAAATTACATTAACAGGTAAGGAGTTCATAGATACGTAGTTTCTGTTAATGGAACCTTTGAAACTAAAATGTCCTGACAGTCTTCTTGTTATTCCTAATTGAGCTGTCAAAGGGTTCTTTATCCCACTAACAGAACACTAGCTAAAAGAGGGAGGAGCTCCAAGGGATGAAGTAAGTTCTTGTGACATTTAAATTTTATTTATTTAAGATTTCAATCCTTTTTCAGAAATGTGTTACTGCACTTGAAAAAACTTGGCACACTGAACATTTTTTCTGTGCCCAGTGTGGAAAACAATTTGGGGAAGAAGGATTCCATGAGCGGGATGGCAAACCATACTGTAGGGATGATTATTTTGATATGTTTGCACCAAAATGTGGTGGCTGTAACAGGCCAATTATGGAGAATTATATCTCTGCTTTGAACAGTCAGTGGCATGCTGATTGCTTTGTTTGCAGGGTAAGTCTGAGCAATGGTATGTAGTAAGATAGTCTCTTGTGGATGTATGCTGCTTTAGTATTTATATATTTTGTTTATTGGAAGAGAACTGTATACCTTGAAGGAAGTGTTAAGTATTGCATTTATGGTACCCCCCACCACTAGTTGTGAAATCAAACCAAGTCTCTGAGAACTGTCTCTTGACCTTGGTATGACTTGATGCTAGGTGTACAGATTTAATTCATATGGACAGAAAATCCCATCTTAAATTCTGTGTTAAAATGTCCTGTCAGCAAAGATTGAAATATAAATGCCGTATGTTCAATGGAAAGGGTGAATTTTATTTTAAAGTTTTAATAATCTGTTACAAATGAAATTTCTGTACTGGTAAATGTATGACATCTTCCGTGAGCATAAAATTAGTTGTTAATTTCTGTACTGGTAAATGTATGACATCTTCCGTGAGCATAAAATTAGTTGTTAATTTCTGTACTGGTAAATGTATGACATCTTCCGTGAGCATAAAATTAGTAATTATCAGCATGTGTAATATTTTTATCTGGTTTGTAAATGTCGAAAAGGAAAATGTATGATTTATTCATTTATTTTCTTTCTCTTCTAGTCAGCAGCTGTGGTATCTTTGTAATAACTGTATGTTGCATTCTTATTAAGGTTTGATATTTCTAAATACAGGATTGCAAGAAACCTGTATCAGGCAAATCCTTCTATGCCATGGAAGGGAAGCCAGTATGTCCTAAATGTGTGGGCGTAGAAGAAGATGAGGAAGACTAAAACTTCAGATCAGTGCAAATTAAATGGATGATTCATGCCCTCTCCCAGTATGATGCCCCCCCTCCCCCATTTCATACAAGAAGTTCAATGCTGGAATAAAAGGAAAGTCTGTCCCTTCTTCATGTATATCATATGCCCAGAATATTATTTTATATGAATACAACCTTCAGAAAATATTTCCTTTGTTGTTTAAGTTATTTTTAACTTATTTTTGGAACAAGTTTACCCTATAGTTTTTTTTGTCTGTGTCAGTAGAAAAGCAGTCTTTACTAAACTGATTCTGTATTATAGCAGAAGTAAACTTTAACAGAGGTTGAATTCCATGTATAGAAATCGTTACCTGTATGTATATTCAATAAAGAGAAAGGAAAAAAAAAATCAAAAATAAAAAAATAAAAAATATAT